TCCATTTCTGTTACACTTGGTAATTGGGTTGACAAGCCAAAGGTTTTCGTTCTTTTAAGCGAGTGTAAGCTATTCCAACTATTAATCCAGTTGGACCTCATAGCTTTCCAAATGAGATCATCGGATGTGCAAAAGCTTCTCATCACCCACCCACCTACCACCCCTCACATCCCCCCTTTTCTCTTCCTTCCATCTGGCTGCTTGTAGAACAGCAGTTCACATGCCAGAGGAGGTAGAAAAGACCTCCCCCAAAGAGCAGCTGGATAAGCACGTTGGAGGGAATGGAGCAGTGTTTGAAAGCTAATGAATTAGAGAGAAAGGGATAATTCTTTGGAACTGTGAATGTGTGGTTTGAAAGGAGAGGAGCTGAATTTTTCATACATTTGGATTAAAATCCAAGCAGGGAGTTATAGGACTTGCCTTGTGTTCAAGCGTTTTGTGTTGTGGAGGTTCATATTCTGAATATTCATATTCTTATTTACTGCCACATCTCTAATTGAAAGAAATGCTATATCTTTAACTTGTTTTAATTTCCTTAGGGTAGTAGCAAGTGAGCAACTTGTCCAAGATCACCAAGGGAGCTTCATGGTTGAGTAGGAGTTTGAATGTTAATCTCCCATTTCCTAATATGCCCCTACTACACAAAGGAATGTAGGATTTGTACAAATAGTATAAGATTGTAGATTAATCCAAACCAGTTGGGGCACAGTGCTTGCATGTTTAATCAGAAAAAACTTCTTCAACTCCCAGCATCCCTCTAGCTAGGATTGTCAACTGAAGGGATGCTAGGAGCTTTAGGGATTTTTTTCCTGCCTAAATATGCATAGAATTGCACCCTTGAACATTTCTGGATTACAGCTGCTTTTAAGTATGATATTAAGCTCTTGCTTTGCATGCAGGAGGTCTAGAGTTCAGTCCCTGACATCCAGGTAGGTGTAAAACCCTGGAGAGCCACTTCTAGTCAGTGCTGACAGTACTGGACTAGGTAGAACCCCTGCAAGATGGCTTCCTGAGTATGACTGTTCAGAACGTGCTCTGCACAGCCATTTCCATGCATGTGGATGGTGGTGTTGGAGTGTCTCTACACATACAATGACTTCTCAGAACTGAGGTCATAGCATTCAGAATGACAGTTAGTAAAGAGACACATCTAAGGAAACTAGTGCCATGCTTGCTGATGCACCTTTCTGAGTGGACACCTCTTAGCTCCGAGATGCCAGGCTGAAATGTCTGCATGCTCTGCTTTAGGTGGGATTTTCACCAATTAGCATCCTTTGCATGTACGTTTTTCAAAACCACTATTTTACTTTCATCAGGAATGCAGCAGGATGTTGTTGTATCCATTATGGATTCTCTTGGTTATTGCTGTCACCGTAGCTCACTTAAAAGTTTCTACCACAAAGACTGGTGGGGAAGGAACATACTGAGATACAAGTAATGTATGCAGCTTTTAAATCTTCATCTTTAAAACGTGCAATATTTATAACCACTTTACAATCCCTGAATATCTGCTCCCTTGTCACAGTGAATTAAATACAAGCAATTCCAAAGGCAGCACGATGGTGGACCCACCATAAAGGCCAAATCAATATTTAGACAGCTTCAGGCTACTTCCAGAATCTGCCGACTTCTACACTTGCTGGCAAAGCCTTCCTTGCGTTCATCATGAAAGATGCTGTTTTATGTACTTGAAACATTAGCACTGATCTGAAATGCTTCTAAGACTCCTCCCGGAGGGTATCTCTTAAATTTGCAAGCATGCCGATTATAGTACTTCAAAATATAGCATCACTATCCAGTGCCTATTGTAAATGAGTGCTGTGTTGCTACTGATACAAGAATTGTGTAGGTACAAATAATCCATACTGATTCAGTCATTTTACCATCTCTGCTTGGTTTTCCCCTCTTGGATTTTTATCATGTGTTTTTAAATCTTACCATGTCAGCACCACCATGCAATATCTTCCAGAGGAAGACATGAGCAGCGGATGTTTGGAATGCTGCAGTTTTGGGGACCTGAAAGTCTTGACTCAGCTTGGGAGAAAAATGCACTGTGGAATGTTCTGAGTCAGTGAAATGTCTTTTATTTTGCCTAGACTTCATTGGAAAAAGTAATGGGCAAAAACATTTAAGCAGAGCTTAGGCAAGACTGCACTTCTTTTGCAGGTCTCCCACCTAGTGGTTGTATTAGGGCACTGCCAAGACAATGGTGGTGGAGAAGTTGTTTGGAATCTTTACTTGAGCTAAGTCCAGAGGAGGAGAAACCTGGTATCATTATTCATGGCAGTGATGGCCGCGGGCTTCTGAGGGTGCTTAACCAAGGCACCCTCAGTGGGCCGCTTCCCCAGTGAGTCTCCCCCTCACCCCCAGCCATTCTTGCTTCTCATCCTTTCCCCATCATTGCTACCATGCTGCCTGCATGACAGGCAGAGAGGCAAGGAGCGTGTATTGCTTCTCCACCACTGTCGGAGCCAGAGCAAGGGGCAGATGAGCAAGCAGGGATGCTATGCAGTGTGGACCTTTGGCAGGTGTCTGTTCGTGCTCACCCTTGGCAGCACCTGAGCGCTCAAAGTGGGCAAGGTGATGAGTGATCTGCAAACCACCACAGCTGGTTGTTACTACAAATAAAGTCATTCGGAAGGTCATGTAAAGGGGGAATGTTATATTTCAGCTTCCATATTTCATATCTGAGTTCAATGGTCTAATCCCAGGTAATTCACAAAATGCACACTTATTCTGAAAGAACTATTCACTCCAGTCATGCATTAACCAGTAGTGTATTGATGTAATGGACTCTATGTATGTATGAATAAAATACATATGTAACTTAAAATTTTCTTGGCCACCTTTCAGGGTAGAAATGCTCCCAAGGCAGGATATAGCAATAAAACATGCAGAACCAATAAAATATTAAGAGCAGTTTAAAAAGTTTAAAATGGCATCAATAAAAGAACAAAACCAGCACTGAAAAAAAAGCTACAGCTGCAATCGTATTAGAAAAAGGGCAGAATAAATAAAATTTTCAAGGCCTTCTCACAAAAGCCTGCAGAGAGAGAGCGTGTCTAAATTCTGATGGCAACCTGTTCCAGAGATGTGGGACAACTGCAAACAAAGACTCTCTCATCCACCTAACTGTTCAGCCTCCCATTAGCAAGTTTTGATAGCCACCCTTCGCACTACTTTTCTATGAGATGTGCAGCATAGTTGTGTCATAAGACAATAACAAATCCCAAAGTTCGTTATGATATAAACTGCCAACAGAATTGGACTGAAATGCAAATGTTAAGGGCTAGATCCAAGATCTCATAAAAGGACTTTCACCTGTGCAGGGAACCAATGCAGCCCTAGGGAAAATGGGAGTCCCTCAGCTTGTGGTCGTGACACTGGAAAACTGGTAGCTTCTCAGCATTTAGAAAACATGGAATGACAGAACATTTGAATGAAGGATATTGTTTGGCAGGGGGAGCAATTTTCCTTTTTTTTTTTTTTTTAAGCCTCTAAAAATGTGGTAGGCCTCTCAGGTTCTAAATCACAACAATCCAGATATCTGTATTATTAATTACTAATTAATACTAAATTGTCTCTTTGGGATAATTGTAACCTGGTCCTTATAACAATTTTCTTATTTCAATTAACTGGCATTTAAGATTTTAGATGCTCAGCTGTATCTGAAGTTTTGCCATGTGGAGAAACTCTCTTCTGTAACTTGCAACTATATGGTTAAGCTTGGCATTGCCCCCCCTTCGTAGCAGCAATAAAATCTGGGAAAGCAGAGGTGTGTTAATACTGTGTTTAGCTTTGTGGTTGGAGGTCATCGCTGGCCTCCCCATGTGGTTGCAGAAGCCGTGAAGTAATATGAGGTTTTGACTCACTGCAGTTTGTCTGCTCATCTGAATCTACTCAGAAATTCTAGCAGTTGAGGGATGGTATTGTGCAAAATTCTCTGAAGCACTCCTATGGTTACTGCTTCCTGCGTTTCTGCTTATATTACTTGCTATGGCTGAACTCCATACGCTTCCCCAAGAATCCTAGATTTTTTGTAAGCACTGCTTAGTAGTTATGCTATTCTTATGGTGGGGATTTCATCCTGTATATCCTAAAGCTAAAGTTTATTTAAAAACACTGAAATACTAAATCCCGTTTCTTTGAAAACCTATCTCAGTCTTCTACACCTGGGCGCCCCTCACAAGATGTACTGAACTATAGCTCCCATCACCGCCAACCAGCATGATGGTGATGGGAGCTGTAGTCCAGAAAATACATATGTAGGCACCATTTTGAGAGAAGCTGCAGGAGACTTCCAGAGCAGGGGAGCAGGTTTAGTATTTGACATGGCTTTATTTATTTATTTATATTCTGCCTTTTTTCCTGGGGAAAAACAAAGACGGCGTGCAGATTCTTCCCACATTTTATTGTCACAACAACAGCCCTCTGATGTAGACTGGGCTGAGAGTCATTGACTGACCCGAAGTCCCCCAGTGTGATTCATGGTTAATTAGGGAACAGAGACTGGATATCCCAAGTCCCAGTCCTACATTCTAGCCTTTAGAACACACTGGCTTTCTAAGCGCCGCACCACACTAGCTCTGTAATTTATTCTAAATACAGAGTGAGCTCAGCCTAGTTTGTAAAAATACTGTGAAATTGGTAGGATTATGCACCCACTGAAAACGTACCAGCATCCATGAAATTATTCTGCATTGGTAACATTCAGCATTGGAATGAATGCCATTTTGCAAGTGCCAAAGACCTCATTGCTTGTTGAGTCATTTATTGGAAGTAATGTTAAGATCACCCTATAATATGAAGTATATACACAGCAGTGGGACAGACAGCATAAATTACTGGAAGGGGCTTCACTGCTGACTTAATGAAAGATTAACTAGTACACTGTGGTATTTGTGGACATTAGAGCTGTCAGGTTACCTAACTACACTTGAGAGACTTGGGACAATAGCAGTGCTGATGGTAATGCTGGTAATTTCCCTGTTTTTTTGCAGGTCACTGCCAGGGGATTTGGTCCATTGTTACAGTTTGCCTACACTGCTAAGCTGTTACTCAGCAGAGAAAACATACAAGAGGTCATCCACTGTGCAGAATTCCTGCGCATGCACAACCTGGAGGATTCCTGCTTCAGTTTCCTTCAAACACAACTGCTGAACAACGAAGATGGCCTATTCCTGTGCAAGAAGGATACCACCTATCAACGGATGCATGAAGATGAGAACTCTGAGGGAGAAGAAGAAGAAGAGACTATGGAGTCGGAGACATCCAAGATATCTTGCCCAAGAGAGAGAACACACCCAGAGCCCTTTAACTTTGACTCTACTAGTTCAGGAGCTGACAAGGAGGAAGGGATGCTGCCCGACTCGGACATAGTGAACGACGGCAAGGATAGTTTGGATAAGGAAGCAGTAACACGGTACCCCAGATACAAGAAATACCAGCTGGCTTGTACCAAGAATGTCTACAACACATCACACATTAGTACCTCAGGTTTCGCAAGCACATTCAGTGAAGAAAGTTCTGGTGATGGCCTCAAGCCAGAGCTTGCTGTAGGGCAGATTAAAAGTGAGCCTAGAAGTGAGGAGAATGATGAAGAAAACATCACGCTTTGCCTCTCTGGAGACGAACCTGACATCAGGGATAAAGAAGGGGATGTTGAAATGGACCGAAAGCAGCCAAGTCCCAGTGGAGCTGATGGGCTTAAAAGCAGTTCCTCCCCTTCCTGCCTAAGGTCTTTCTTCAACCGAACAAAAAGCGTAGACTTAGTTGGCTTTCCCAGTACTTCCCAACAGCACTTTGCCAGGAGTCCAGTGTGCCCTTTTGACAAGGGGACAACTCAGGGTGACCACAAAACTGATTATGTCCCTATCCCGGGGAACTATGGACTCTCCCAAGCCGTTCAGAAGGGTGCTTCCAATTTTACAGTGGGATCGCCTCTCAGGGGTCCTGGCTTTGCTGAAGGCCTCTGTAAGCAGGAAGGTGAGGCGGACAGGAGGAGTGTTATATTCTCTTCAAACGTTTGTGACCAACTAAACACTTCGGTGCATTCATATTCTGGCGTGAGCAGCTTGGACAAAGATCTCACCGAGACTGTGCCAAAGGGTCTGTGGGCAGGAAGCAGCCAATCTCTTCCCAGCTGCCAGACCTATTCTCACATTACACAGACAGCTGATCACTTACCAGGACGGATGCGGCCCAACACCAGCTGCCCAGTGCCAATAAAAGTTTGCCCTCGGTCTCCTCCTCTAGAAACCAGAACAAGGACCTCCAGTTCATGTTCCTCCTACTCTTATGCGGAGGATGGCAGTGGTGGTTCTCCCTGCAGCCTCCCTCTGTGTGAGTTTTCATCTTCCCCCTGTTCCCAAGGAGCTCGATTCCTGGCCGCTGAGCATCAGGAGCCGAGCATGATGGGAGATGGAATGTACAACCAAGTCAGACCCCAGATAAAATGTGAGCCCTCCTATGGAACAAACTCTAGCGATGAGTCTGGATCGTTCTCTGAAGCAGACAGTGAGTCATGTCCTGTGCAAGACAGAGGACATGAGGTAGGGATTTGTGATAAGTACACCTGTTAACACCTGCTTGTGATCCATTCAATAAGCCCACTGTTTTCTCCAATGGCCTTCTTGGGTAGAATAGCCAGTTTTATTCCCGACTCCCTTTTCTGTGTGTGTGAGACTTTGCCCTCAGGTTAATAAATAAAAAATACAGAAAATATGTGCAAGGCAGTAAGCCGCTGTAGTATAAAAACCAGCAGACTTCTGCTGACAGTCGATTAGGAAATTGGGAGCATCTTGTAAACATGCCGGCTTTGCCCTGCTGCTCCTCCCATGCATGGGAATTCTGTTCCCACCAATTCCTTTCAGTTTCAGGCCTACAGTAATTAGCAGTAGGTCTTGTACCAGCATTTCCACTAACTTTATTTATATTTTTATATCCCACCTTTCTTCCAAAAAATATTTTTGACACACAAGGTTAATAATATCCAAATTAAAAAGCATAACATATGAGAGCATAACATAAACCCAATTAAACACAATTGAATATGAATGGGCGAGGGGTGGGGATAAGCAGCACCAACCAGTTTAAAACGTCTTCTGACACAGATCAGCCAAAATTTTAAAAGGTTCCTATACCACCAAGAATGCCTTCTTTTCTATTTTCACCAGATGTGCTTTGGATAGTGATGGGACCAAGAGAAAGATCCTAAAATGCAGCTGTATTCTTATGCATAGGAGAAGCGATCCTTCAGGTTGCCTGATCCCCAACCGTATAAGGCTTTATGGGTCATAACTTGTACTTTAAGTTCTGGCCAGAAACAGACTGGCAACCAGTGAAGCTGGCTGTACCAAGTTCACAAAAAACAGTGAAGCTGTTGCACCTGTAACCAGCCCGGTGAGCTGTGTGGCTGTAGTGTTCTGAACTTGCTGCTGTTTCTAGAAGCTGTTCCATGCAGGGTATATATAAGTTGTCCAAAGTGAATGTAACTATGGCATGTATGACTAGCCTTATCAGGCATTTAGTTAGATTACCATATCAGGTCACCCTTTGTAAATCTGCTTTGACTGAAAATCTGCTTTGATGCTAACTGGTTCACAAAAATTCAGGAACAAATTTAATACTGACCATAGGCAGGTGCAAAACTAAGCAGCAGAGGAAAGGTCCGTGCAAGCAGAAGGATGAGGAACAGAGAGTGGTGTCCATGTCTGGAAACAGCCAGCAATCTAACCATAGTTGAAGGTTACCATTGTTCAGTGATGTTAAACTGCCAGCCATGGATGGAGGCCATTTAGAGCCTTATTTGGTGATGAGATGGTTAGAGTGTTGGACCAGGGAGTTACAGGTCCAGGTTCTAGTCCCTACTTGGTCATGAAGCTTAGTGGGTGACTTTCGGCCAATCATTCTCAGCCTAACTTGCCTCACAGGGTTGTTGTGATGAGGATAAAATGGAGCTTTGTGAGCCATCTTGTGTTTTTCACAAGAGGATAAAGGGATATCAATGAAATGTAATAATTATTAATATTAATGATAAATCTGGAGCAGTCTGCTACTCCAAACACCCTACCAAGGTACCCAACTAATCCTGTTTTAAAAAAACAAACCATTTTCTTAGTGGCAACTGGGATTATTGTGAGATAGTTTTCTGTTCAATGGTTTAGTGTACTGGGGCTGAGACACAGTGTTTTAGAAAGGTTACTTGCCACAGGTCATGCTTTCCATGGCAGCTATTCTGCGGTGCTACTCTGGACAGTTTCTTGACGTTCTGGCCCAAAATGTTTGCATACCCTTGATTCAGAGAAAGCAAGAAATGGGCTACAGAGTCAATAATGCAGAAACGTATCTATGTTCACCAAGCACAACCAGATCAAAAATCCAGATCCCTAGAGATTTAATCTATACCTTATCAGCTCATGCTGTCTTGAATCTCATCTCTTTCCTAGCCCAAAGCCATATGACCGTCCAACAATTAACTGATTGTGCTTCTCATCCGTAACAGCAATGCTGCCACATTCAGTAAAATGTTCTTGCTAATAGGCAAACAATTTCACACTAGGGAAAATTGAGCTAGGGTCTAAAAAGAAAGCTGTAAGGGGCGTATATAATGATGATGCATTTGCGCAGACTTTTAGCCAATCTGTTCTTGTTCTTATCAGTGGGAAACTCATGGCCTTTCCAGACAGTTCACTGAGGAATAAAGACATAGTTGCTTGTTCATTGTGGGGATTGAGACAGCCTCCCTCAAGGAAGCTTTTGGTTTCAAAATAGTGCATATTTTGGCACTTAGCTGCAATATATTTTCACTGGGAAAAAATTATGCTTTTCTCAGCGGGGTCATTGCAGTTTGGAGTAGAAAATGAAAAATGGCATTTTGGCTGCAAACACCCCCAGCCCATTATCTAGTGGCTGAGATCCCATGAACTGTGCTTTAAAGAACAGAAGCCCCTTCCCACGCCATAACTCATGGCACACTACCTTTGAAACAGGCTATGTCTTTCTTTTTCTTTTTACATAACTTGTTAGGTTGCCCTCCTATACCTGCTCACCTCAGAAGCAGGTAAGCCTTAGTGAACATAGTGGGAATTCTGAGTACTGGGAATTCCAGTGCAATACCTGGAATTGCACTGATCACTTATAAACTTGTGCACACTTATTTTGGGATAATTTCCCATTGGTTTCTGTAGGTCATTTCTGAATAGTCTTTATGAGTACAATGAAAGAGGCTAAGCACTTTCCAACACTACCATTCCACATGCACCCATTTCAGGTACACACATATTCCTTTTTTTCCAGGGTGGAGCTGGGACATAAATAAATTAACTGGCAATCACATTCTTTTGAGAACTTCTTTCTTGAACTATTTTCTTCCCTGCTCCATGCTTGAATGCACATATCCTATCTAAGAACAAGTTGTTATTCTCTCCTCTCCAACACATACTATGAGCAGTAAGAATATCACAGAGTTGTTGCTAGATCAGGGTTAGCAGACGAATTATAGTAAAGGACACGTCTGGCTTGTGGGGTGGGGGCTTTGCATCTGTCTGTGTTTTAATGTTCCAGTGAAGTTCACAAAAAACAGTGTTAAAGTTTCATTTAGCTTGTGCCAGCACTACTTTTAGTGAACTTTTTGTATGCAGGCTTGGAGATTAAAAAGAACATTAATTTCTTACCTGCGTCAAGTATATTAAGCCACAGATACAGATGTTCTAAGTGTTCATGTTTAAATCTGAATAATGGGATTAATGCATATGCATTTTTTTCCATAAGAAAAGCAGAATGACTGAATGTAAGAAAAAAGCATTGGGCTTGTTCACACATAATAGTGACAAACCACGAGTTAGTTAATTAACCCATGACTTGCCAGGATATGTGCCACCACCATTTTGAATATGCAGCCTCAAATTAGAGGTTATTTCTTGATGCGTTAAACCCAGATACCATGGGTTACTCATGAGTTTAAAAATCCACAGTAAAATAATTGTGGATTAAAGGTAAAGGTTTCCCCTTGACGTTACGTCCAGTCATGCCTGACTCTAGGGGGCAGTGCTCATCTCCGTTTCCTAGCCGAGGGAGCCAGCGTTTGTCCACAGACAGTCTCCGTGGTCATGTGGCCGGCATGACAAAACACCAAAGTGCACGGAACGCTGTTATCTGCCCACCGAAGTGGTACCTTTTTATCTACTTGCATTTGCATGCTTTCGAACTGCAAGGTTGGCAGGAGGTGGGTCAGAGTATGGGAGCTCACCCCATTGTGCACATTCGAACTGGCGACCTTTTGATCAACCAGCCCAGCAGCACAGCGGTTTAAACCACTGCGCTACCTGCAGTCCTAGCTGTATTTAATTCACAAACAATGGTGTCTGAAGTTGCACATCACAAAAGAACTTCCGATTGGAATAATTGGAGAGTACACAGGAGAGTATATATTCAAAATGAGGATTGTATGCAATAGTGGCAAACTGCGGATTAATTCGCCCAAGATGCTGTTGCATGTGAATCATGTGACAAAGAGGGAGCAATGCTTTTGCAGGGCTTTGCTCAGATGTGGTCAACCACTCCCGTTCTCTTTTCCATTCTTTATCATTTGGTCCATGGCTTTTTTCAGTATGTAGAAAGAAGTACAAGAATAGCTCTATGCAGCTGCAGCCTGTGATAATTTTGCATAATATAGATTTCAGGAGGTTTAGCAACCTGTGGGCCTCAACCTAACTTTAAAAGCCCTCTGCATGGATCAGTTCAGACCTCTTGTAAAAGCAACCTTTCCTGGCAGCCAGCTGCATGGAAAGGGAGAAGGAGAGCAAGAACAGGGTTCACCCACTCATCTGGCTCTCATCCTGCCCACCACTGGCTTCAGTCTGATCACCCCCATGTGCCAAATTCCTAATGAGGGAATGCAGCCCTAGATTAGAGGAAGAAAAAGACATGAAATAGAGGGAGAAGTGGCAGAAAGGAGGTGTTTGTGATGTTACTAATCTGTGTTTATTTGTCATGAAAGCAAGCTCTTAACTCACAAGGTGAAGCTCTGCTCCTGAGCAGCAGTGATCTGACATTACACTAAAATATGCAACAAGTAGTAACTTAAGAATATGGCGTCACTTGGTGTTCCAAAGTATATATTGGCTATGTTAAAATTAATTGTGCAGGAGAGAGACAGAAGCACAGACTTTATTTCTTCTTTGGGGAAGGGTGGGAACAGCGTGTACCTATTTAGGCCTCCTGGAACTAGTAATTCAGAAAGCAGTTTGAGAATCACATGAGAGAATACAAGAAATTCTAGACTAGAAGAATCCTCTCTCTGGCATTTTACTCCAGGGATGTGTAATGTGTGGCTTTCCAGAGGTTTCTGGACTGCAACTGCAGAAGGAAGCCACCCCGAGGCTTATGCGAATGGGGCAGCATACAAGAATTCCAAATAAATAAATAAACTCCCATGATCCTTCATTAGGGCAATGCTGCCTGGAGTCAGTGGGAGCTGATGTCCAAGAACATCTTAGAGGTCTACACATTGCCTACCACTGGAGTAAAGTGCCACAGGAGAAAGATTCTT